TTTTTGCAGTATCATTCATAAAGAGGAGAGATTTCAAGAGAAACTGTGTACTCATCCCAATTTTTTTGCCCTTCATGCATATTTAAAATCCATAGACAATTTCCAGTCTTTCAATTACTTTTCTGTGTTTTGTTTTTTGTTTTGTTTTTTAAATTTATTTTTAAAGTTATTTCAAAAATACACTGATCAAAGGGCTTTGTGGAACTGTAGCTTGCTTTCTACCTTTTCATAAATAATGGAAATACCCAGCCAAGGCACGGTGAGCGTGTGGCTGTACTATTTATTGCTTTCCTCTGGGGAGCCATTTATCTTAAAACTACTACAGTTTACTTTCTAAAACGTGTCTGATTGTAACACTTGCAAATGTAGATTTGAAAGTTGTCTCTGATAATTTATGCTCTCACTCTTCCAGATCACACGTTATTTTTGAAGCTTCCCTTTTCACAGCGATGTTCCCCATTTTCTCTAAAGCAAAGAGGGGGAGAAAAGCTCACCTGCAGTACAGCTACATGAAAGCTGTGCGGATGAAATGAAATTTGCACTGCGTTGCTCTCAATGCCAGGCTATTCATTTTGGGCCACAACCTACACCATGTATAATACTAAGGCCAAAACCACAGGGGAAAGGCAGAATTTAGTCAAAACTACTAAACATTTGCTGATTTAACTAGTGCAGAATAGGAGAAATGTGGAAAACAAAACTAACCATAAGAGTTTATAGGGCCTGAAGACTTGTCCTTTACCATTTATCTTGGTGGACAGAAAAATATGCAATTTGATGGAACGTTTTCCATCAAAGCCCCAAACATCTTGTTTTGCATTTTGGTTTCTGCCAAACTTGAAAAATGTCTGCCACAAAACAGAAGTTTCCCACTTTTGGAAGCACACTTCTGGACTTGGAGTCTTCCATTTCCTTAAGGAAAAAAGCAGCACACTGGATGGAAATTATTCCACTGTCCATGTATATTTTTTTGTGTGTTAAACTTCAAGTTTTCTGTTTAAAAAGAAAAAATGATGGAAAAAAAAAAAAAAAGGGCTAGTTTTAATTATCTGTTAGCCCACAGCTGCAAGCAAGGCAACAGATTGCAATGTGGACAGAAAGAAATGCCCAGCAAAGGCTCTGTGAAAGGAAAACGGATGCAGAACAACTAAGGAACAACTTTGTTTGCCTTATTCAGGTCAAGGTCCTCGTTCAGAGTTAAGAGCACTAACTATTCAATGATTTCTTGCTACCGTTTTTAACGAATGAGACCCAGGGTAGTGTCACAAATTGTGCATTTGAAAAGGCATTCCAGACCTTTTTTTTTGCACCTTGTCCCCTCCACATAAACCAGGGCTCACATTGCTGAGCATCAGCGATACCCAACTTGACACAGAAGGCAGCAGAAACTACAGGGCTTCCAGCCAGGTTTGGGTTTGCCCAAAAAGAAAACCAAAGCGATCTATCATCTGCTACCTCTACATGTGCCTGTCTGTGTTAGGATGCCAATTCTGGCACAGCAAAGTAAATTGTGAGGGTACTTAATAGTGGGTGGGGGCTGTTCCTCATGAGCACATCCACATAAAACAAAAGGCTCTCACAGAACAGAATTAGGGTCATGCAGGCTGCCTGCTGCCTCCTCCCATCAGAACGCTTCCCCCACCAGAAGGTTTCTAGGGCAGGAAAGAGAGGGGTGATTTACAAAACAAGTCAAAACTTTCCACTGCACTTTAACTTTCTTTTTCTGTGGTGAAAGGCAGATAATTTTGATGTTTACTATCAGTTTTTCCTATTGTTATTGTGCAGGCTTAACGTAACTGCCGTGCTATAACAATATACATCTGCTCTTTGAAATGCACCCATGAATGTCAGTTAGGCAGTATTTCTGCTTCTCGTGGTGTCAGAGTAATTAACATCCCTTTCCTTTAAAGTAAGCAATGAGATGATACATTGAAGTCCCCACAGAACACACCAGATAGCATTGAAACTGTAGAAAACACCACAGAGACGAGGGCTGCCTTTCAGCACAACCCTTTGGATACACGTTTAAACCCAGGGCAAAACCCCACGAGTGCTTTGGACAAGAGTGGTGGGCTGATGTGCAGGCAGGCAGAGGGATGGATGGTGCAGGGCTGCGGCCCCCTCTGCTTTTGGAGCCTGTTGGGCTCACATGCATGTAGGAAGAAGAGCACGGCGTCCCAAGCCCTGCCAGCAGCTCCTGACCAGCCTTGCAAAGGACAAATCCTGGCACTGGTGCCTCCAGCAGAGATGCTCCCTGCCATGAGTCATCCCACCTGGCTCACAGCACACCCTGTCATGCAGTGTGGGACGTGGCTTGCTGAGGCTCTGGACAGGCGATGCCTGGCCTGCTTTGATTTCCTTTTGTTCTCCCATCAGTTTGTCCACCCTTAGACACCTATCTTGCTCTTTTTCTTTGTAGAGCACTGAGTTGCATTAAATGTTTACGATCCTATTACAGGATACAGTTTTAGATTACTATAATAAAAGGGAGTTGGTAAAACTTCATTATCTGTGGTGGCAGAGGAAGAATAAAACCTTACACCTACAAGTTTGTCCATAACATTGCTTGTAATGACTTTTTTAAAAGCCCAAGCACACACACACACACAAAAACCACCAAAACAGAAACCAAACTGGCTGTTAACAGGCCCCAGTGTCACGATACATCACGATGCTGGACATAGGCTGTTATCAAGCACATGGAGAAAACTAAAGCTACAGTTTCACTGCCACTGTGTGCATTATTTCAGGTCAGTACCCTTTTGCTTTCTGTGCTACCACAGCGGGAAGTATGCAGTTATCCAAGTACAGCAGCACAGCCTCAGCAAGGACCAAGTCATATCCGACTCTGGGAGTAGAGCTCTGCAATTCCTGTGATCTTTTCCTTTAAAAAATAAATTGCTGGTACTTTAATCATTTATCAGAAGGAAGAGTGTTTGTTTCAAAGGCGCAGAATGAAGGCTTTAAAATTATATTCTGTTCTTCTTTGGTTTCTGAGCAAATGCAGGAATAATAACGTTTTTAGGTTCTGCAGAGATGCTTTAATTCCTTTCAGTTCTACAGGTAAAAAAAAGTCCCTCCTCCTCCCTCCCACCAGGTGTGTGAGAAGAAACATTTCGATAAAACCCTGTTCTCAGTTTTGAGTTCTCTGTAAAAGAAAAATAAAACACACCAAAGCTAAAACACCGTGCTGACAGCCCCTGCAAAGTACTCGCCTCTTCCCCACCCACGGCATTTAAGAGCTTGGTTTTGCAGCAGAGGGATGCAGGGAAGAGAAGAAACGGCAGGTCCGAGGGAGAATTCCCTATGGTCTGCAGGGAGGAGCTGTCTCTCTCATGTATTTCTTGTATTTCTTGTATTTCCTTCAATTCCTTTGCCTTTCCCCCCAGAAGTCTTATCTGCATGTCCCTATGAAAGCAGGACAAGCCGTGGCCTCACTGCCCAGCTGTGGCCTCCAGATGTGCTGGGGGATGCAGGGACCCAGCTGAGGCCCCTCCATCCACTCTCCACCCACCCCATTCCTCTGCTCCAAGTTGGTTTTGTTTCTGCTCCCCTTACCAGCAGAAGTGGGGTTTGGCAAGGCCGGGAGCTCCCTGACTGTCCCATTCATTTTGTAGAAGAGATCTGGAGTGTTTCTGTTCACCAACTTGCCTCCTTGAGCTACTCTGTAAGCAGCCATCTCATGCCCTGTGAGAAACTAACCGTGGCACACTTTGTACATCAGATTCCTGTTCAATAGTTTGCATGGCACATTTTGTACATCAGATTCCTGTTCAATAGTTTGCATGGAAAGCGCTGAACATTCAAAAGGCATTTTCACACAAATAGTATTATTAGGACTTGGGTGCTTCTGCCCACATGCAAAAGTGTGGAAAGCTGCTTTCAGGACTGCTGCTTGGAGCAGACCTGTTTGAGACATGGTTTTGGACGATCTGAGCCTCCCAGGCTTTGAATTCTTGTGGCTTCCAGCTCTGGGGGCAGGGGGGCTCAGTGAGCGTCAGCCCAGGTTCCTCAAAGCTGAACAAGAACTTAGGGCCTATTACTCAGAAACCACCTCAAAGCTGCCGAGCTGGAGGATGCTGAAGCCCGGGGTGTGCTATTTAACACCTGTCTGCTTCTGCTGCAACTGTATCCTACCAGGCTGGTTCCAGTTGCATTTGCGGTTAGCTAAGCAAAACCCCAAATCTTCAGCAGTGACTTTAACACTTTTTTTTTTTTTTTTTTTTTTCTAGCAGTGCTGCTGAAAAAAGTTTGTCACTTGGCTACTTTAGTATCAGTGCAGAGTTTGTAGGGCGAAAAACACAGGTTGAACGCCCTGGCTCTCTATTTTACGGACTCGTTAGTTTCAAGAATCAGAGGTGGCTGGGTTGGAAGTGAGGTCACTGGTCCAGCTGGGAAGGACAAAAGGGAATAGAGGGGAAATGGAAACAAGCTGTAACAGAAGGAGACCACTAGCAAGAACTAAAGGTCAGCCTGGATAGTAATATTCCTTTGCAAATCCAAAGCTGTCTGCTGGGGCAGCACAGGAGCATGCTGACAGCTATGGGGAATGGTCATGTCCTTCCCGGCCCTTCTCCCTGCTACCAGCATCGGGTGGTTAACAAGCTTTGGAAGCGGGATGGTTCTAAATGGAGTGTCCCATGGGTATTCCTCTTTTAAGAGACAAACCAGAGGAATCAGCCACCTGGGAGCAGAAAGCAAATATTTATGGATGAGTTATAGCTACTAAATTCCCTTTCATGGCTGACCTCAGTTTCTTTTTTTTTTTTTTTTCCTTTCCTTTTAAGGAGCTAAACAGCTTCAAAACAAACCCTCTTTGGAGCAGCATTTCAGGCTGACATTGCCAGTCATCTTACAGCAAACACACTCTGCTACAGACCTGCTCCCCACCAAATGCCTCACTCTTCCCAAATGGGAAGCCCTGGCTTTGCTGTGCTGTGAAATCTGTAATATTCTTGCATGACCGCTGTTTTAAGTTAGACTGCATTCCTGTCTTTCAGTTGTCAGGAGAGCGTGGAAAGAAGATATTTATCGCATTAGCCCTGCACGATCAAGGAGAAGGCTGGCTGTTTGAGGATGCTTTATTAATGAATGCTAGAGGACATCCACCCCTCCTAAGGTACGAGTGGCTCGTTACTGAAAAATGCAGGGAGATAAACAGCCAAGTCCTCTGTCTTCTGTGGCTCTTCTGTAGGTGTGTTACACTTGACATACGTTATTTATGAACCTCAGATAGTGCCCAAGGCTAAACCTACCACTGCCATTAAAAAATAAAAGCCGATGTAACCGACAGAGTATTTCTGCTGCTGGTGGTTTAATAACACGGGTGTCTTTCACGTGACTTGAAAGGCCCAATGCAAAGTGCATCAAAGGAGAGGATAATTTTTCTATTGACTTCAAAGACGGAGCAGCCCTGCGGGGCGATGCGCACTGCTAGGCTCGGGCATAGGGCGCCCAGCTGACTGAAGCCTCCCCACCAGCCTTGCAAAACACCACATTCCCACCAAAAACGCTTCCCCCTCCAGAAGCAAGCATCCAGCTGTGCTGCCGTCAGGGAAACCCTGCCCTAGGGCTAAAAATGCTTTTCCTTCTTGCCCTCCAAATCCTCCAAACGTTTCTCCCTCTCCGCTATCACCTCCCAGATAGAAGAGGGGGGGGAAACCACCTAGCTAGCAAATCCCACTCTGTGTTCAGCTATCAGATGCGTTTATATCCATGATGCTCCCAGCCCAGTTATGGCTGACCAGAGGGCAAGCCTGCCATAAGAGCCATATAGTGACCCTATCACCATTGTATACCATCATACAGCACCTTTGCCACTCTGACCAAGGAGAGTAGAGGGGACAGGAGAGAATTGCTGGCATCAGCCAAAAACCCCCTCAGTTCAAAAGCAAGCTCTCTGGGATAGGAAGGTGTCACAGAGTACAAGATACCCTCCTGCAGTGGCTTCCTGAGCAAAACTGCTTGTAAAATGAGTTTGCTGAGAGCAACCCCCACTCCTGGCGTGCTCTGGCTGCTTGCTGCCAACACATTGCAGGCGCTCTGCAAAGTGCTGCTCACTTGCTCTGCAGTTGCTTGTGACAGCTTGGTTTGGATAGGAAGAGGGAACGAAAGGGCTCTTCTGAAGAAGAGGAGCTACCTGCAGTCCATGCCGTCTTGCTCATCCTTTTCTTTTGCTCAGAGAGGTGATCCCAAACCTGCTGGGCTCATCCCCGTGCGCCAGGCATGAGCACAAGCATGGGTTAACCCAGGCCTCCCTCCCTAAAAAAGAGAAAACTTGTTTTCCCCAGCACGAAACTCCTGTCGCATACGGGCACGCAGTCATTTTAATGACTATACGCTGTTGTAATGTTAGCAGATATTTTAAAGAGCATATCGCTCCAACAGAAGCCACTGCCATCTGTGCTTCCCCAATTAGGAATGCAAGCAAATATGTATTTTTACAGTAACATCAATAAAATGTAACGCACAAGTGATGTATCTTTGCATTTTTTTAAAGGCACAGACTGGGGAGGCAGTCACTCCTGAAGCCGTGGAATTCCCTTGCATGAAGAAGAGGATTTTTAAACCCAAAAGCCCAGTCCACGCAGGCACTCCACTGCAGGCATTTTAGTTTCTAAAACCAGGTGAACTAAGCAGAATAAATGTGTTTTAATATCTTATGCACTACTGGGGGTTGAGGAGAGAGAACAATGTATAATCTCTTTGAGAATATGGCCTATATTTTTTTTTTTTTTTTGGAGAGGTTAAAAACAGCCAACCCTGATTGCCAGGATATTGTCAGCCAGCAGCCACTGCCATTCACCTGAAACCCATCTCATGCCTTTTATTCACAAAATCCTGTCTCCTTTTCTCCCCGCTGGCTCAATGGGGCACCCAAAAACTGAACCATCACAAATGAGTAATTTAGGAAGCAAACACATTCATATCCCTGCTCCTTGCAGTGGACAGACAAAGGTGCCAGGGTGATGCTGAGCAGATGCCCCATGGAGCTGTCACGTGCCTCCAGCACCTTGCACTGCACTCACTCGCCTCTTGCTGCTCTGTTGGTTTGGTTTGGGGTTGTTTTGTGTTATTGTTTTTTTCCTCCACGCAACTGCACCTTGAACTTCTTCTGTTTTCTTCTGTTTTCTTCTACAGCCCCCAAAAGGGAGGGGGACAAACCCAAACAAAGTGAAATATCATCTGCTGCTGCCAGCCACGCATCCCCTCCCTACCTGGTGCTTAATGTGATAATGAACCTTCCCGGAGGAGCTTTTGTGGTTTAGGGCTTACTGAATAATAATGCAGTGCAGAACGCACACAAAGCCACATTTCTGTCTCATTTCTTTTTCTTTCCTTCCCCTCCCCCAACCCCAAATACACATCTGATCAAAAGTCAGGCTGCAATTAAAAAGAAGCACAGTTTGCCTCTCTTTTTTTTTTTTTTTTTTTTTCTCTCCTTACACCACTAGATGGTCTTTCATCAGCAAACAAAAACAGGGTAAATATTTTCTCAGTCGTGGTAAAGGTTATACTTCATAACAGTGCTTTGTGCTTCGACACCTAGTCCTTTCAAAAACAGTTGTGTTAAAATACTATAAAACATAAACAGTTTGATGCCATGCAGTGTTATCTGTGTCATGGCACACGCAGATGGGCACAGAATCATAGACTCATACAATCATAGAATGTCCTGGGTTGAAAAGGACGACAATCATCATCCAGTTCCAACCCCCTGCTATGTGCAGGGTCACCAACCAGCAGACCAGGCTGCCCAGAGCCACATCCAGCCTGGCCTTGAATGCCTGCAGGGATGGGGCACCCACAACCTCCTTGGGCAACCTGTTCCAGCGTGTCACCACCCTCTGGGTGAAAAACTTCATAATATCTAACCTGAAACTGCTCTCTCTCAGTTTAAGATCATTCCCCCCTAGGAACACGCAGGACATGCCCTACTCTGGCCCTGTCCCCCATTGCAGTGTTCTCCATTCCCCTGCCCAGCCCAGGGGTGACCTGATGGCACTTACACGCACTTCACCTCCATAGCAATGGGAACCACGAGCAGTGGGTCTCAGGCTGCTGTTGTCTTTCTCCAGGTTTTTTAGAGACCACCAGAAAGACCTTCTAAGGCCTCTCCCCTGTCTGCTATGACTTGCTTCCATGCACTTGAGAAACTCCTTGGCATGTTCTGAGGCTCCACAGCACCGAGAGAAGTAGTGAGAGAGGAAGGAACCCCAACCAACCACAGCAAAGTGACCAGTGAGTAACTGTGAACATCTGCGAGGCCCTCACATCTCTCCCAGACATCATGGAACAGGAGAAAACATTTGTGGAACAGTGTGTCAATTCCATTTTCCACTTCTTTTTGTGTAGATGGGGATATAAAAGACCGGGCTCTGTACTGAAGGGCAGAGGTCCCAGATCCAGCCCCTGGGTGCAGCAGGACATGCTCTGGAGGAGCTCTGTGCTCAGAAAATTTCAAACAAAGCATTAGAGTAGTGCAGGTCACCAAACCTTCACTTTTTGCCTCTCTATACACCCACAGTTGTGTTCCTCCTTGTGGGACATAGAGGCAGCATCTCACTTGAAACTCTGATAGAACTCAACTCGTAGACACAATTAAAATTAATTACAGAGCTGCAGAAATGTCTCTGTACATTGCTAATAAAGAAATAATTGAATTTGATGGTCATCTAAATATCTCTCTTAACCACAGTGTGTATGACTGGAAATACAAGTGTTTCGCTCCTGTTAATACCTCTGGGCACACACACACATCTGGGTTCTGCAACTCAGAGCTTGGTACACTTATTAGGAATCTGCTCTGATCAAGCTTGCTGCCATTCCCCAGGGGCTTTGTCCCACTTCAGGACTCGAACACACCACCACGGTGCTGATAACAAGTGTAGGAGTTCATGATTCATTCAGCAAATTATTTTATATGCTGATGAAGTTTGATTACTCTCAACACCAGCACAGACTATGGAGCAAGAGAGCAGCTTGTTGATCCCAAAGCGGGGCACTTCTTCCAGCTCCTGCTCTTCTACTCAAGCCCAGGCTGAAAATGATGATCAGTACACCACAATACGTGCAATGGAAGTTGTGTAGATTCCATTCAGAAGACTCTAGCTGCTGCATTTTGTTTATTTTGAATCTAGAGGCTTGTGCTTAGTGACAGGTTGCCGGTGTCCATCTGCAGCTTGTTTTTTGTTTTCATGCATGCTGCACATTTGTGTGACAAGACGTGGGCATGTTCAGCACGGAACAAACCCGCTTGTTTTTCACCTACAGCCTGCCCACAGGGGAGCCCCAGCCCAAAAGCATTTCTCCTCTCCTGCCCCAGGATGGGACAGCTGCAGAAGCCCCCCAAATCCTGGTGCTCTATAAGAGATGGGATTCAGTTTCACTACATTTATCATACCATCATGCATTAGAATGTAGAATAGCTTTACTGCTGTTATTGTAGAGCAGGATCCACATTTTGGGGAAATTTGAGCATTAAACCCAACCAGGCTCTCCCAAGCTTGCAGTATCCCGTAACCAGGATCACACAACCAGTGTCTGCTCATCTCAGTAGAGATTTAGCAGACAAAGCACAGGATTAACACCTACTAAACCTCACTTGGCCCTTCCCATTGATTTATGTACCTTGCCAGCAGTCCTGAAGCTGGGCACGTACTAATTACCTCAGTCTGTTAAGTAAGCATCCTATTTTACTTCCTCCACTGAGTCCTTTCCTGGTCACTAAGAGAAAGTCTCACAATTCCTCATGTCCATCCTTGTGTGGCCTGGCCAGTCTCACCTGCTCAAGCTTCAGGCTGCCACAAGAGGATGCGACCAGAGTTACTTTTCCAGCAGATTTTGGAGTTATCATCACCTTCAAAGTGAATTCCAGAGCTCGCACCATGCAGAGACTTCACAGTTACTTGCGAAAAACCCTGCCTAAAAGTCCTTCAGTTGGTGCCAAGTGCCACACAAGACGAGCGCTGCAGTCAGATGGCAACGTAGGAGATCCAGAAGTTGTGCCAAGGCTCTGTCTGGGGGGAAAGAAAGGAAAAAAAAAAGGGGAGGGGAATAGTCACCCACGCTGAACAGCCTTCCTTTGCATGCTCCTTGGCAAAGCTCCTTATGTGCCCTGAAACAGCCCCGCACCACCTGAGCATGCTGAAAATGGGAACAGAGGAGCCCAGCAGGCAGCAGCTTTGCCAGCTGTTGGTCTTGGGAGAACTTCTACAGCATGCACTTGTTGTAAACACAGCCCTGAGCTGCCGGAGCTCAGGGAGCACTGGGACACAGCTCTCAGATGCAGGGTTTGGGTGGTGCTGTGTGGAGTCAGGATCAGACTCAGAGGTTAGCTTGTGAGTCCCTTCCAGCATATTCCCTGGTTCTGTGATTCCATAAAAAGCAGGTTCACAAACACACATGCATAAAAGCCCAAATTTCTCTATCCTTGTCATTCACCCAGAGCTTTCCTCTAAAACCAGTGATTCAATTTGTGCAGCATTTGATTTGCAGTGTTTGAACACCGGGCAGAGCCAAATACTGCAGGTTTGGGACCAAAACAAGGGCACAAAGGTGTCTGTGCCCCTTGTCTCTGCCATTCCCCGTGTGCTGCTTCTTGTGCCCAGAGCTCCTTCCAGCCACGGGGCACAGCTACTGCTCCCTCTGCAGGATATATCCTTATATATTATCCTTACATATCCTTATACATTGATATATACTCATATCTCTCCTGTTCACGCTTTGGGTTCATCAGAGGATTTTCTTTTGTGGGGTTGTGTCCATTTTCTACCTCATTAATGAAGAAGGAGGTATGTCGGTGTTTTTACTTGTTGTATCCCTGTTTTGTTCTGTAGTGTTTTTGCTCACTCTTGTTGACCTCAGCCTGAGTCTCAAGACATCACTGAGTTTCCCAGTTATCCCACTTTTTGTAGTAATAAATCCCATTTTTTGGAGTGAAAGCTCAGAGTAATAAAGGATGTAAAAATAAAAGTGAATGTTGAACACCTTCAGCAGGGAAAAGCTCTTGAGAACCGAGTCCTAAAGAGTGGGACATTAGCAAGAAGAAAGAAGGCGATTAGAATGGACTATAACGTCTTCTGGTTTTCTGACCTCTCTTGCTGGTTAGTGACTTATGCCTCAGCTTTTTTAAATGCCTGGGCTTGGTTGCACACATTGGTTTGGTGATGCTGCATTTGGTACAAACAGGCAGGACTCCTCACTTCAGTACTAATTGAGAAGTAACAGCCATCACTCATACAGCTCCCCTCCTATTTTTGACATGAAGAGTACAAAGCACCTTGAGATTTTAGAAGTGGCACTCAGGAGGCTGAGGAGCCTCAGTTCATGGCCTTGCTCTGACAACAGAAATCTTGAATTGATTCTGAAAGGTTTTTTTCACATTAATATGAGAGACTGAACCCTGAGTTAAGAGTTTCAAATCTGAACTTATATTTGCAAATAGGATGAGCCGAGACTTGCTGCAGGCATCAGGTTCCCATTCCTGTACACACAGATGGTTTCCTGCTGAGTTCATTGTGAATACAGACTTTTAAAAGGCTTTCAATACTCTAAGTATGGCTTTCACTACAAAATTCCATGTTTTAATGTAATTATCTAGAAAAAGTAGAACTTTAGCACCCCAAAAATACTCTTGCAAAGTCTGTTGTCCTATTCATGGGAGAGATCTGTGCCTTGGCCTGATAGGAACCAGGCTTGGCTATCAGTTTTTATTCCTAAGAAATAAAGAAGGACAAGCTGTGCTTTGCAAGTCCATGCATAGTGATGGCAGAGGTTGTGTTAGCACTCTGAATCATGGTGCTGAGGCTCCTGGGGCACCTCATTAGATTGCACACAAAATAACCCCAGTGATTTTAACTTGTGGTGAATTGTAGGACTGCCCAGGCTCTGCCAACGTGGTGCACTGTGCCAGCCAGCCTGCTCATGGGACAGAACACATGTCCACCTCTTGCCAAAACAGTTATTCTTCACTCCTGCGTACGAAAATAGGGAAGTGAACACCAGATCACAAAAACCATCTTGTTCATCGAGCAGCTTTTGGCAGAAGCTGCATTTTGGCATGTTAAAGCTACACTTCCCCCACTAGAATATCCAGCAGTTTGATTACCGCTGCAGTTATCTTCATTATTTGAAAAACCTGGCCAAACTGAAAAGATGTGAGCAGGCCTCCTGGTTAACATCCGTGCGATGGCTTGGAAAAAAGATGAATCCTCTCGCTGCTTTCACCCCATCTGCCCAAGTTGCCTGAATGCTCTTCCAGTTGCCCCATGCCCATTCCCTTATTCCTCAGTTAGTGCCCCCTCCCAACAGCACACTACATGGCCTTGGAAAAACCCGGGGCTCATCTTCATCAGAAGCAAGGTGCCTGTAAATGGAGCCCAAGGAGGGAAAATGGCTTCTTTGTCAATTCTGTCCTGGGAACTGCCATCCTCTTTCTGTTTTCCTAACGCACCTTGTTAAATACCTGCAGGAAATTGCCTGTTTCCCTGGGGTCTGGTTCTCCACTGCTTTACATGAATGCAGAATGAGGATAAAAAGTTATTTGTCTAGCCTGGCTGTGTGTTCCACCTGCCTGCTGAAGTACAAGTGACTGCAGGAGGTGTGGGGCAACAGACTCAAGGTCCAGCTCTCGTTTTATGTAAACTTGAATCAATGGGAGGCAGAAACCTCTTGAAAAGGTGATCTTGGCTGAAACCCAGAGCAAAAACCTTCTGAAATGCAAATTCAGACTCATTGCTGATCTCTAGCATTGCTTCCGTGGAATGATGAAACTATCTGTTTTATACATAGCAATCCTCTTGTGCCTTCAGAAATGGCACAGCCCTTCTCCTTCTGCACAAACCAATGGCTGGCATAATTAAAAGCAAGCCAGACTCATCTAATTTGACACTCAAGCAGTTCAGATGTAAAATACTCTCTTGAAAAAGTGCACTTTGCTGTTAAAAAAGCAGCACATATGTTTATGTATGGATAATGAGCCTTGTTGGCAAGGACAATTAAGTCTCCTGTAAGGCATCTGTGGTCATTCTCCGCCTGCATTTCAGAGGAAGGCTGGCTGCAAGTTATTCTCATCCCTGAGGTAATTGCAGTGTATCTTGTGTTTGGATCTCCTGGCTTCTGCTGTAATCCCAAAGATTATTCCTTGCTGTTTTCCTGATGCATCTTCGTATCTCAGAGGAGGACAGCAATCTGAAGAATTGGGGATTATTTTCTCTTCCTCCTCCCTTTACATCGCATTTCAGACTTGGACTTATTCTAGTTAATAAAATAAGCACGAGCTAAAATGCTGGCTTGCCAAGTATGATGAAAATAGATCCACCAGCAGCTCCTTTGACCCATCTTTCTCCATCTTTGTCTTGATTTGGCTCTGCTGCTGGCGTCATAGCTCATGTGGGAGCTTTTCTCCATGCCAAATGGGACTGACCAGGACCGAACCTAGTCAGGAACAAGGCAGGAGATCCTGAGTGGATTGGGTGACATCACCCATCTCTGCTGCCAAGGGATGACCACATTGCTGGGTGCTTACAAGATTTTTCAGCCCACTAGGTGGGAAGCTTTTGCCTACCTCTCAAAAAGTACTGTACTTGTAATGTACTGCACTTGTAATCCCCAGTTCTCAAGATACACCCATGCCCAACCTAATCATTTAAAGAATGCTATCAAGAGAAAGTGACAGACAGAGCTCTGAGCAGGCCTGCTCTCTTTCTTTTTAATACTAAAAACATACAAATACACTTTTGGGACAATAATACTCCAGTGTGGTCCTGAGGAATCCCCTTATGAGAGTGTTTGCCAACTCACAGCTATTTTGTAGTAATACTTTTGGTGTTAAATGCTTTTTTTAAACAAGTATGCTTGAGAGCAATTATTTAGCTCTCCACTTGCACCCATCTCCACTCCTTTTCTCCTGGAGATATTTTTGGCATTCCTACAATCACATTATCAGCAGAGGAATAATAGTGGTGAACAGCAGCCCGTGTTAGAAGAGGATGAACTCTGCAGTGCTGCACAAGGAGCATCCATCCACACGATCATGTGGAGCAGCGTCTGGGTCCACCACCACCACAGCATGCAGTGTCCCCTTTTGTTTTTTTTTAGAACTCTATTAATCCACACTGTGAATGCTGAAGCTGCCCTAAGCTCAGCTGAAAGCAGAAGGCAGCACTAAAATATCATTTAAAACGATAGAAAGTTCTGGGTCAAGTTGGCTATTGTAGATAAAGCTGCCACCATCTACCCTTAGCGACTGGGACTGAGCGCCAAGTGTTTTCATTACCCACCGAGTAAGAAGTACTTTATAATTCACAGTAACACCTGACATGCAATAATATCCAGCCTTATTAATATGAGGGATTTTTTTTTTAAGTCCGTTGGCAGTAAAAACACCCCTTCCATAAAACGCTGGCATCCACACATGCCCTGCAGCTTCTCACAGCACCTTTAAAGTACTAAAGACATTCATTACCTCATACACTCAAAAAACAACCAGAGCAGGATTATATGTCTCCCCCCACCTCTCCCTAAACGTTAGGGAAGTTGGAAGGTGCCAAACACCCAAAACCCACAGCCTTAACCAACAGAGAGCAGGACACGAGGCCAGCACCCTGCTGTGCCTGCTGATGCACCCATGCTTTGTGCCCCCTGGCATGGGGGTAGGGCTGAGCACTCTCATGTGGGGCACAGGAGTGTTGCTTTCCATGCTTCTCTCTCCATCTAGCCACAGCTGCATTTTAGTTTTATTCTCATGCTGGAAAGCACTGTCTCTACCTCGGGGCAGCTTTCCCAGACAAAGGTGGGACCTCCTGTGCTGCCAGGACAGGGACAGGAGCTCCCCAAGTCCCCTCCTTCCCCAGGCAGTTCCAGCCACGATGTCAAAGTGTTGGCTCAGGTTCTGTCGCTGAGTGGTGACAGGAGGCCCTGATCCTCACTCCTGCTGGCTCACGTGGTCCTTCTCCCTCCCTGTCCAACCATCACCACCTGGGAACTCAGTGCCCAGAACCTGAAGACCTCCAACCCAGTGAGGGTCTGCAGATGTTTCCTTCACACCAGCAAGCACCGTTGCCAGAAATGCTGCTCTGTAGGGCAATGGGCACACGTGAGCCCCTGCAAGGTGAAAGCCAGAGGCAGCCACAGAGGACAGCTGGGACAGAGGCAGCACCTCGCCTTGCTGATCTTCCCCCAGCCGCAACACAGACAGCTCCTCGTGGCACACACGCACCGTGAGCGTGTTGCAAGAGGCGGGCGGTGTTGCGTTACAAATGCTAGGATAGAGAACAGCTCAGCAAGATACCAAT